CGCCTACCCATTAGGCCCTCTCTGTACTGATGATGGCATACGTTAATTCGCATATGGAATTCAATCAAGTGACCAAGCCAGAGCATGACACATGTTTTGGAAATTATGCCTCGATGCATGAAGTGGCCATCACTTTGTTCAGCCTCAGGAGGTATTTGTTACACAAATCTCTTGTCAATTCGAGGTTATAAGCTTGACCATAGTGTTTTCCACTCATCCTTTCACATTGCCAATGTATTACTAGCATGTCTTGCTGGGTGGGGTGTACATGCCTGTAATCCCAGCCTTTTGGAAGGCTGTGGCGGGTGTACTGCTTAAGGCCAGGAGTCCAAGACCAGCCTGGGCAACACAGTGAGACCCCGATCTCTACAAAAAATAATTTAAAAAAAAATTAGCTGGGTGTGGTGGTGTGCACCTGTAGTCCTAGCTACTCAGGAACCCGAGGCAAGAGGATCACCTGAACCCAGAAGTTTGAGGTTACAGTGAATTACGATTGCACCATTGCACTCCAGCCTGGGTGACAGAGCAAGACCCTGTCTCTAAATACTACTACTACTACTAGCAATAATAAGCATGTCTTATATTTTGATTGCCCTAAATTTTTATCAATGAGTCCTATTTTTGTAGAATGTTAACTGTAATTTTATTCATATCTTTCAAAAAAAGTATATATTCTAACCCACTGCACGCATTTAGTTCTTTTCAGCAAGTTAAACAAAAAAGAGGCAGTCCCATGTGTTGTCATTTTAAAAGGGGGACGTATCTGGGTTTGAGAAACAAAGTAGACCTCCAGTATCTCTTTTTCTGCTGTAAAGACCAACTAATATTGAAATGCTCATTATTTAAGTCAGAGTAATTTTTGTGTTTCCCAAGGTTAATGAGAATCAGGAATTTATTTGTTAAGCGATAAATCTGGATTATGGTTAGCATCATGATTTTCAAGATTTTTTGCTTTTTAGGGAAGAACACTGAAAATGGCCTCTGTGCTTGGAGGTGTGTGTGTGTGTGTGTGTGTGTGTTTGAGACAGGGTCTCACTCTGTGTGTGTGTGTGTGTGTGTGTGTGTGTGTGTGAGAGAGACAGGGTCTCACTCTGTTGCCCAGGCTGGTCTTGAACTCCTGGGCTCAAGTGATCCTCCCACCTCAGTTTCCCGAAGTGCTGGGATTACAGGCATGAGTCATGGTGCCTGGCCATTGGGAATTTTTTTCAAAGCTGAAAGATAAAGGTAGAAGAACATATACGTAGATAGAAATACAAATAGGAGCACTGATAAATGTGAAGGAGGTCAGTATAAAGTAGGGGCTATTACCAGATTGCAAGTATTTTGGAAAATGTCAACATAACTAATTTCCATATTTAAAAAGTATTCTACCATCAATTGCTCCTGTTCTTGAACTTAGATGTAGAGATAAAACACTTTCTAGGCCTGGCGCGGTGGCTCACGCCTGTAATCCCAGTACTTTGGGAGGCCGAGGTGGGTGGATCATTTGAGGTCAGGAGTTTGAGACCAGCCTGGCCAACATGGTGTGAAACCCAGTCTCTACTAAAAATACAAAAACTAGCCGGGCGTGGTGGCACGCGCCTGTAATCCCAGCTACTCAGGAGGCTGAGGCAGGAGAACTGCTTCAGCCTGGGAGGTGGAGGTTGTGGTGATCTGAGATCTCGACCCTGCACTTCAATCTGGGCGACAGAGTGAGACCCTGTCTCAACAAAAAAACAACAACAACAAACAAAACCCCAATATTTTCTAAAAAAAAAAAAAAAAAGTTCTCTTTTGGATGTGTTCAGTTCGAGATACTATTTGACATCCAATAGAAAGTCATCGCTTCATTCAGCACACTTTGATGAGCGTGGCTGTAAGGCATTCTTCTAGTCACTGGGATGATTATAAATAAATAATTCCCTCCACCCTTTCTTTTCTAGTGGGAGAGAAAAACCAGTAAACAAGTAGATACCTCAACGATGCTCCGTGCTGTGCTGGAAAACCAAGCAGGTACAAGGGAGGGAGAATGCTGGGGTGGGGAGGCAGGCAGGCTGTGATTTTTTTATTTTCCGAGGCAGAGTCTCCCTCTGTTGCCCAGGCTGGAGCAACCATCTTGGCTCACTGCAACCTCCACCTCCCGGGTTCAGGCAGTCCTCCTGCCTCAGCCTCCCGAGTAGCTGGGATTACAGGTGTGTGCCACCACGCCTGGCTAATTTTTATATTTTTAGCAGAGACGGGGTTTCACCGTGTCGGCCAGGCTGGTCTCGAACTCCTGACCTCAAGTGATCCACCTGCCTCAGCCTCCCAAAGTGCTGGGATTACAGGCATGAACCACCATGCCTGGCCTCAGGCTGTGATTTTTAAAGCAGAGAGGGACAGCCCTCTCTGAAGATGAGACTTGAGCAGGCCCCAAAATGTTGCCAAGAAGCTGGCTGGGGAGAGCACTGGAGGCAGATGCAGACAGAAGAGCAAGTGTGAAGGCCTTAAGGCCAAACGTGCTTGGCATGCTTGCGCGTCAGCAAGGAGAGTGGCGGAGTGGGAGGGCAGCTACCGGGAGGAGAGGGACAGAGACTGGGACCAACCAGGGAAGGGAGGCCGGGTCACTAGCGACCCCTGGGTACAGCAGGGGAGTGACGTGACTGCAGAGTGATGTGACCTCCATGTCCAAGGCTCACTCAGGATGCTGTGTGAAGACCAGGAGAAGGGCGGAAGTTACCGGAACAGTCTTGGTAAGAAGCCTGTGCCTTGGTAGAGGGCGGTACAGTGTGGGTGGTGAGGACAGAGCAACTCAGGATATGTTTTCAAGGGACAGTTGGCAGGATGTGCATATGTCACAGATGTCCTGTGTGAGAGATGGTGGCAAGGCTGCCACCTGGTCTGGACAGCCAGAAGTGGGGGGTGCCCACCCCCTGGGCTCAAGTGCTCCTTCCGCCGCCTCTAGCTAGTTGAGTCTGTAGGAGGCAGTGGCTGGAGGCTGGAGTCACCTTTCTGGACATGGACAAATTCAGTCTAGAGAGTATGTCGGAATGAGTCAGACAGCACAGGGAGGCCTGGATTAGAAGTCTGGGAATTATCTTCCTATTAAAGTCACAAGCCTGGATGGCGGCACCCAGGGCACAGGTGTAGATGGAGAAGCCAGGTCTGAGATGGAACAGGACCCGAGGGGAGCTTCCATTCCACTGGGAAGACACAGAAAATTGGCAAGCAGATGTCATCAGTCAGGTCTAAGTGTTATGTAGAAAAATAAAGCCGGGGAGGGAATCGAGAATGCTGGCAGGCACGTGGATGTGGATGGTACTCGTCATAGATGCAAGTAAATGCAGGAACCTGGTGCTCAGGGAGAAAGGCAGCTGGACGTGCACTCAATGGTCACCTCCATGTTCAATGACAGGAGAGGAGATGGGGCAGGATCACTCAGGGAATGGGGACAGAGAGAAACAAACATCTGAGACTTGAGCCTTCAGGCTCTTGGACCATTAAGAGTGGAACGGTCCACTCTAGAATGGGTTTCGCTTTTGGAAATTCACATAGGAAACTCATGTCAGTGGAGTAGCCCTCCCTCTAAGCCACTTTGCTGCTAATGTTTGCTCAGTGTTTAGACCAGCCTGAAGGTGAGTGACCCTAGGGCTGTTTTTTTAAAACATATATTCCTCAGACCACTGCATCAGAACCAACTCAAGAGCTTGTTAAAAATGAAGTTTTCACATTCCATCCTAACTCTAACCTCTGGGACTAGATACTGAAGGGCAGAAAAACACTCCCGAGGATTCTCCTCTCCACTAAGCTTGAAAAACCTCAGCTTTAACAGCAGAAAGAAAAATTAGAAAACAACGAGAATGGACAGGAAATAAGAAGACACAGTGAGAGGTAAAATTTATAGAAATTTTACCTGGGTGCAGTAGCTCATGCCTGTAATCCCAGCACTTTGGGAGGCCGAGACAGGCAGATCACTTGACGTCAGGCGTTAGAGATAAGTCTGGCCAACATGGTGAAACCGTCTCTAATAAAAATACAAAAATTAGCCGGGCATGTTGGTGGGCACCTGTAATCCCAGATACTTGGGAGGCTGAGGCAGGAGAATCTCTTGAACCCGGGAGACCGAGAATGCAGTGAGTGGATATCGCGCCACTGCACTCCAGCCTGGGTAACAGAGTGAGACTGTCGAAAGAAAGGAAGGAAGGAAGGAAAGAAGGAAGGAAGGAAGAAAGGAAGAAAGAAAAAGGAAGAAAGGAAGGGAGAAAGGAAGAAAGAAAGGAAGAAAGAAAGGAAGGAAGAAAGGAAGGAAGAAAAGGAAGGAAGGGAGAGAGGAAGGAAGGGAGGGAGGGAGGAAGGGAGAGGGAGGGAGGAAGGGAGAGGGAGGGAGAAAGGAAGGAAAGGAAAGAAAGGAAGGAAAGGAAGAAAGAAAGAAAATAAAGAAAAGAAAACCCAAACCAAACTATGGAAGGCAGGGAGCTCCCGAGGGCTCACGAGGTGAACTCATAACCAGATCCACACATCCTGAGAATGCGTTGGGGCAGGAGGACTTAAAATGGAAACATGAATTCAGCTCCTAGAAATTACCACTACTGTACTGTCAGGCCTATAAGGACAGAGATTCCTCAGTTATTTTGTTTTAGAATGTTTTTATATCATTGAGTTGGGTTTTTAAGAAAAAAAATGTTAGTTTTTTCCCTAATCTTCTGTATTTTCTAAAGGAGGAAAACGGATTATTAGGGATACAACAGTCAAATCCTTCTCAGTACAACACAGAATAGGAATTATTCCAGCAACTGAAGACTCACCAACAATATCTTCCAATTAGAAAGGTGTCTGTGTTTCATATCTTACATTATGGTACCGAGTGTAACAGGAAAAAGGATCCGTATCTAAGACTCAAGTCAGTACTCCATTATGGAGACAGACACCCAGATAACGTTAATGAAAAGTGAAGAGATTTCTTCAGAGGCTACTTGTTAACACACATTTTAAAATTAAAACAAAAACCCTTTGTACATATAAAAAATACAGCTGACTCCACGTTTTGATTTATGAAAAATAAATTTATTACATAACACCTTGTTTTTAACAATGTTCAATTTTTTATTCAGAATACTTGTGTCATTCATGTAAAATAGTTTGATACAGTACATTGTATGTTATAGGTTTTTTTTTTCCTCAAAAATTCTAAGGCTCTCCTACTCCTTCTCCTTTGCTGAAGTAAGGGCACCCTAAACAACGTGCGAACAAGTTTTCAAAAGGAAAATGAACTGAACAAAATTTTAATAGCACTACACCAACCAGCTTTAAAATCAGGACGAAAATATTTGAATTGGATGCCGCACCTTTTTAAGGAAGTTATCATTCATGCTTTTTTCATCTTAAAGCATGCTCACAAATCAGCAACACCAACAGGAAAAATAAAACACTGTCTATGACAATCATTTTAGTTTGTTTGCTGAACCAAACAGGTTTATATCAATGACAACATATTTAATTACTATCAAATAGCAGCTTTAATACCAGTCAAGTCATAGATTGAAAATGAAAACAAACTTAGAAGTTGGAAGTTAATCTTTGGGAGTTTTGAAACCTTTCTGGAAAAACTATGTGGCTTTTTGTACTTTCAAAAAAATCCAAGCCATGTTCTTGGTCAGAAAACACTGATTAATGTAGAAAATGAATCAGCCCACTGATAAGACACTAAAAAGAAAGGTGTACCAAAATAATCTCATTTTGAGTCTTGGTTATTTCGTTAACATATACTGTATGTTTCAAGTACCAGTTAAACTTTGTGTCTGTGTGTGTACTATTGGTCAGATAATGTTGTTACACTGAAAAAATTCACCACATACAAAGACAAATGCTTGCCCCTAGCACATTCACAGCTTCAACTGCTACAGACTGTCACTGAAAAAAATGCATTGGTCAGTCTGAACCATGTCAAGTAAACTATGGAAGTAGCAAATCCACAACACAAACTGTGCTAGCACTTTCTTTTCAAGTCTAACTCCAAAATAGGTACAACTTGGAAGCCACTACCCCAATCTGTGTGAAAAGTGGTGGAACTTGGCTACTGGACATTTTGAAGATGTGGTTGTACAGTACATTCTCATGGCCCATACCAGGTTCCCGCGGAGAGCTGCACAGTCAGCCCTGCAGCATTCGCAACAGTGCATGGACAAGATTCCGATGCAGCTCAGTACCGATGTGTCTGATGTGAGTACTGTGGAGGCTGCTGGGAGGTAGCTGAGTATCCCATGCTGCTCTGCGGCTGTGATGTGCTTGGTCCAGGGTTGGGATAGGCAGCATGTGGATTGGAACGCTGGAGAGGAGATGAGGGAGAAATGTGATTCAGGTGCTTCTAGGGGAAAGTCAATCCCAAGCAGCAAAACTTATATGTGACTGAAGAGTCAATATGTTTCAAGGAAGAAAGGATGTACAGGTTTTGTGCGGCGTACTAACTTCATAATGAAAGACAAAAGCCCCAAATATTTTAACATCCTCTTCTCTTGAGGAAGGTCAGAAATATTGCTAGTAAATAATATTAGGCCTAGGTTTATTACTATGCTGTGCAAATACATTTTTTTCTATAGGAGTAACCCCTTTTTATGCTGTTTTGTATCTACTTGGTAAATTTGCTTGAGATGTTTACATGGGAACTTGATGTATACATAAATAATTTAAAGCTTATTTATACGCTTTCTTCAGTAGAAAACTCCCCCCAACACACATGACTAAAGAATAAAAATGAATATGATAGGAGAAGGTATCACAGAATCCATTTCTTTGGCATTAATACATTTTTATGCTCTTTAAACTACTTTTTTTTCTCTTTTGAGACAGGTGCCACTCTATCACCCAGGCTGGAGTGTAATGGTATAATCATTGCTAGGATTATAGGTATGCACCTCCATGCTCAGCTCATTTTTTCAAATTTTTTTGTAGGAACAGGGTCAGGCTATGTTGCCCACATTAATTTCAAACTCCTGGCCTCAAGTGATCCTCCCCCTCAGCCTTCTAAATCACTGGGATTACGGGCAGGAGTCACGGTGCCTGGCCCATTTAAACTACTGAATCTTATTTTCTGCTACAAGTTTATATACAAAAGTAAAAATATAACCACAGACATTTAAGAAGGATGGTATTCTCAATTCTAAAATGGCACAAACAGAATGTGATGGTTTGGGGTTCTCTAATTTTGATCTGTTAGATTATTATTCCCATTCTCACACCTCTCTCTCATACTATTTGCTCCCAAGACAAACACTATAAGATTAACCAAAACTGGGCCGGGCGCCGTGGTTCACGCCTGTAATCCCAGCACTTTGGGAGGCCGAGGCGGGTGGATCACAAGGTCATGAGATTGAGACCATCCTGGCTAACACAGTGAAACCCCGTCTCTACTAAAAATACAAAAAATGAGCCAGGTGTGGTGGCGGGCGCCTGTAGTCCCAGCTGCTGGGAAGCCTGAGTCAGGAGAATGGCGTGAACCTGGGAGGCGGAGCTTGCAGTGAAACACGATCGCACCGCTGCACTCCAGCTACCAAAACTTATTAAATATGCTTTCAAAGAGAGAAGTAATAAGTCATATAATTCCAAATTCTGCCAATCCTAGCGAAGGTAACATTTTTAAAAAGAGTGGACACATGCAATTATAGTCAGAAATACTATTTTAAAAATCATCCACAAAAAACAACCACAGCAATCCAACAAAGCAGCACGGCGTCACTTTCTCGGCTCCAGAAGCCAAGGTCAGAGCACTGCTCTGCTTCATTCTAAGGACGCCATCACCTTAGTGTGCAAACACATTCGTGAGCCAAGAGAGACGCACTCTTCCCCTTTCCAGATGGGAGAAAAGGATACTGGAACCAACAACTCCCACAGCTGTCTGCCCCTGGTGTCCTTGTTTAGCTAACTGGAAGAGAATTACAACTCATAACAGCAATGATTTCCATGGTGTGATGGGCTGGACTTCTCCCCTAACCAAAGGAAAGAGTTAATACCTAATTCTGAAAGTACAGTAACGAGCACTCGGGACTTTATCAGTTTAATAACATCTCTTTCTCTTGTGTGTGTGTGTGTAAATAATTCTAATTGGTCAAATTTTCAGTATCCTTCCCACACTGAAACCTAGTGTAGTTGGGAATATGGTTAGAATAAGCAGAAGAGAAGAGGAGGTGGTATACAATATTCAAAGAAGGTCTTTCCACAACGTAACTGACAATGCCATGATAGGATCCCTAAGTCGGCAACATAACAGCCTTTGTGGTCAGATCAAAGTATGAGTCCTGCATCTACAGCTGGCTTGCTGGGGATCCATGGGAAAGTTATTTAACCTCTACAAGCCTCAGTTTCCTGAAATGGCTACAACACTTAACCTCCCAGAATTATCTCATTTAATCCTTACTAGAGCTTCACATTGATCATTATCCATAGTCTCAAATGGAAATTGAGAACATCTGAATCACTTACTCAAGGATCCGGAGAAATGACCAGACTGGGATCTGAAAGCCTATGTTCTTAATCACTGTGGAATATTGTTCCAAAACAATATATATCAAGCTCCTACCATAAGCCAGGTGTCAAGACACTTCATGTCTAATCTGACAACAGCTGCAAGTTAGGTTTTACTAGTTTCATTTTACAGATTAAAAAAAGCCAGGAGATATTATCCTGCTTGTCCAAGGTCACACAGTTAATAAATGGCATAATCTGTATTTGATCATTCCAAGTCCGGTTCAAAAGTCTAACCCCTTGCTACCATACCACTGTCAGGACTTTTCCATGCCAATAACATTTCATGTTGATGTATTTCCCTGGGTATACAGACCAGTATTTCTCAAATCACATTTTCCCACAATCATAAACCCATATGTAATCGCTGACATGCAAAAATGAACTTGGAATACCTGATAGTCTGAGGTCATGATAAGTCCACCTGAGGTAGTGGTAGGAGGAACAACTCTCACTTTCTTCAATGGGGGTCCCTGTGTGTGACTGCTGTCTTGATTCCCTGGGTGGCCAGTTCCATTCGTGTGGTTATTGCCCTGCTGCTGCTGCTGGTTCTTCTCAATTGGTTCAACAGAAAAAGTTCAGCTCAGAGGGAGAACAAAATACACCCACAACAGAAAACGTTATGGAGGCATTCACGAAACAAGAAGCTGCCAACAGTACTTTAATACTTACTTTGTCTCCTTTGTCATCAGGTTCTTCTTCCGTTAAAAATTCTCGTTTTGGGTAAGGGATTTGACAACCGGCAAAAACGCTGATCATAAGAAAAAGAGAAAAACCATTTCTGGTACACTAATCAATATTCCAAATGCTTCATTTAGGAAATTCTCATTTTAATCTTTTTAAGATGAACTTTGTCTCCGTATTTGCAAATATAAGCACCTTTCATGCAACTGTGACAAAACGAAATCTTTTCTTTGTAACTAGTAATATTACAGCAGGCTACTCGAGGACTCGCGCTGCATACAAATGATCAACAATCATCGAGGATGATTCAGCTGTCTTCTTTTATCCCGGCATTACTCCTCTATCACTCCAGCCAAAATACAGATTCCAGCTGAAACATGTGTCACCATTCAAAGACAATTTTTGTTTTGCCCTTCCTACCACATTTATTAATAAAAGATGGTAGAGGGAACACATTTGGGAATGATGTTTGCAATTTTGGAACATGAAACTGTAACTGCAGACAGTAAGGAGCTACAGCACGCAGAACCAGCCTGTCACTGAAGAGCTGGATCACTGCTGACACTAACGCAATCAGCATCTCATAAAGCCAGAGGTGAACGGGAACGCCTCTTCCCCGGAAAGCCCCAAGTGACACTAATCAACAAAGCTCATTTCTGCTTGTCATAAAGGATTTCCTTGGGTTCCCATATAAGAGGAGGAGCAACTTAGAGCTGACAACCAGAAGAAAGCATACTCCAAAAACTCCAAGTTGGTGAGTTAACTAGGCCACTTACTCTGATGTAGGAAGTGGGTCTTCTAAGAAATAGGGATCCTGCATAGCCTGTTCTGAGGTAATTCGCTTTATTGGGTCCATGGTAAGCAACTTCTGAAGCTGAAATCACAAATCATAAAAAGATGACTATATTGCTTCTCACATTTATCTTTCAGCACATATATGAAGGGGATATGTATTTTTTGGTGAATAACATCACAATTTGGAAAATATTTATTCCCCCAAATTAACAACAAAACTAGTTGTTAAATTTAATGTAGTAATTCACACTTCAGTCATTCCAGTAATCATAATCTCACTTGTTTTACTCTTGCTTATGTTCTCTGACTAAACAAATGATACCCCCTCCCATTATCTAAATTGCTTTATCCAATTTAGAACAGGACCAAACTTCATGTATTTTCTCTGCTTTTCCTATTAAGATAAAAAAGCTGCTGTTACACACATAATACACTAACACATGTAGCGATTCATATTTAGATCTGTTAATTAAAACTGAATTAAATAAAAAAGTCAATCTCCCCATTACACCAGGCACATTTCAAGAGCCGAATGTGGCTCGTGGCTATGCTGCTGCGCCGTGCGGATCATCACAGAAAGTTGTACTGTGCAGTGCTGTTCTAGTCTAAATAAAAACGGTGATACACAACTTATAAAGTACAGAGTTGTATGGTGAGACTCTGACAGTCGACTGCTCCCTTCAAATCTCGACTCAACATTTATCAGCTGCATGACATTGGATAAGTTACTTAATATTTTTGTTACTTCATTTGTCAAATGAAGATTAAAAATAGTGCCTATTACCACAGGCTGTTTTCAGGATTAAATGAGTTCATATATGGAGAGCAATTATAATGGTGCCTAGCATAAAGAAAGTACTATGTAAGTGCTTGCTGTTGTTATTGCTGCTATAAATGCCACGCTAACGTGAAGATTCAGTATTTTTTAGTTAAAACATAGTTCATTCAACTGGATTCTAATATGTGGTCTCTTCGTTTATACTCTGATCTAATGCAGTGGCTTTCAGACTTTACGATGCATCAGAATCACCTGGAGAACTTCTTAAAATAGACTGCTGGGCCCTCCTCACAGAGCTTCTGATTGGTAGATGTGAGCAGGAGCCAAAAGCCTGCATTTCCAACACGGCCCTACATGATGCTACGCTGCTGGACTGAGACTGCACTTTGAAAACCAAGGAACCAACAGACACATTAAGACTTAAAAGAGAGGCCAGGCGTGGTGGCTCACACATGTAATCCCAGAACTTTGGGAGGTCAAGGTGGGCGGATCACCTGAGGTCCAGAGTTCAAGACCAGCCTGGTCAACATGGTGAAACCCCATCTCTACTAATAATATAAAAATTAGCTGGGTGTGGTGACAGGTGCCTGTAATCCCAGCTACTTGGGAGGCTGAGGCAGGAGAATTGCTTGAACCTGGGAGGCAGAGGTTGCAGTGAGCCAAGATCATGCCACTGCACTCCAGCCTGGTGACAGAATGAAACTGTGTTTCAACAACAACAACAAAAAAGACTTAAAGATGACAAATTTTAGAGGATAAAAAGACACTTTTTTTTTTGAGAGTCTTGCTTTGTCGCCAGGCTAGAGTGCAGTAGCACAATCTAGGCTCACTGCAACCTCCACCTCCTGGATTCAAGCGATTCTCCTGTCTCAGCCTCCCGAGTAGCTGGGACTACAGGCACACACCACCACACCCAGCTACTTTTTGCATTTTTAGGAGTTTCACCATGTTGGCCAGGATGGTCTCGATCTCCTGACCTTGTGATCCACCCACCCTGGCCTCCCAAAGTGCTGGGATTACAGGCGTGAGCCACCGCACCCAGCTGATACAACATATTTTAAGATGCAAATAAAATGCTAGAATGGTGAGATTAAAATTTAATTTTGATGATCTGATATTTCAGAGAAAGCACAATTTTATTTTTAGGGTTGAAAGGAAAGGCCTGAATTTGCTATTTAAAATACCCGACAGTTTTAATGGAATTATAACAGGGCTTTCCTAGGGGACTACTCAAGATTACCTCCAATTAAGATGGGTAACCCTCGTAAAAACAAGCACATAAGCTACAAGGAAGGTATATCTCTAGAGTTTTAGTGGTGATGGTAGGCAGAGTCATCTTAGACTATAATGAGTAGCAGGGAATCAAGGAGAAGAAGAATTCCCCTAAGTCATGACTTCTAATCTTCTGCCACTATCATTATTTTATTAGAATCAGTAAGTCCATAATTTTGAAGGATCTAACTTAAACCTCTAATTTGGGTCCTACTGTAAGTACATTATAATAAACCATTATTTGGATAATATATTGTGTGCTAATATGACAGGTTAAGGATGACTTTTTAAATTGCTGTTAAGATATGAAATATATGATATAAAATGTGAACTGATATAATAGTAAGTAGAAAATACAGAAGGAGAAGCAGTAGAAAGAGAAGAAAAAGGAGAAACAAAAGTAGAACAGAAGAAATATTTGCCAAGTGGCCTGGTTGCAATAAAGGAAAGTTTAACCTCTTCAAGGTGAAAGAATTCTCATTTAAGAACTTAGGAATAAGGATTAAAAGAATTTCAAGTCAAGCAAAATACAACCTGCTTCCCCAAACTCCCCTTTTATGTGTTATAAACCTTTTCTGAAAACATAAGACTGAAAAACATTTTTAATTATTATGCTGTAAAAATGGAAACTTTATTGTACACAAAGTTGGTAATGGCTGAATATAATTTCATCACAAATTACCTTGTTAGTGCACGGATATAATTAGATTCTAGGTTAAATCATTTTTCCATTACACACTGATAAATATGGCATCTATCACATTCTTCCAGAAAAATCAAATGGCACATATAATTGCTGAAGGCCTGTTAACATTTAAGGTTATAAGAGGTATTTTGGAAGTTAAGAACTTTGTAAACAGTCTTTCAAAGAGCTGAAATACAAAACAATCTATCAATGGTGAGAAGTATTTTCTTCTTGATACTTCTCTGAAACTTTTAAAATTTTAAAGTAACAGATGAAAAACAATACACGTAATTTTATAAATGTTTTGATAGATTTGTTCCCATCACTATCTTTAGAAAATCTAACGTCACCAAACGTTAGTCTGTCAAACCATGAGATGAGTCTGGAAAAGCAAATATTTTATTGTCTTTATTGGTATGCACTAACAAGCTCTCTGCATTTACCATGAAAGCACTCTGCGTGCTAGCTAAGTAACCATATAAACTGATCCAAAAAAGCCTCAGTTGGGCGAGTCAATTAAGGAAAAAATGCATTTCATTAATACTGTTTATCTAAAGCTTACCAAGTGGAATGCTTTACTATCTGGTTTAACTTTATGTTTTTCCATATACTTGATAAGGCTGCAGTTGGTATACCTGAAAGAGAAATACTATGAAATAGCTATATTAGACTTGAGGTTAACTTTACATTGGCTAAAGTTCTTCTGATAAGAATTATTTTGATCATAACTGATATACAATATATACTGAAGAGTACGAGCATAAAAGGAGTAGAATTAAATCAGTTTTATATTTCATTCAATATCCACAATGGTCACTTTTGAAAGGATACCAATGATTAAATGTAAGACGATTTCATGAATAACAGACACTAAACAGCTTTTTCTTAATATGAATTACACTTTAACAACTATTTTAAATAACATCTGGGTCAAAAGTTTAATTCAGCCTTACCAATAAGTGTAAAATACTTTTGTCATAGGTATATAAACGAAACTCTCCCAATCCCTGATTTTGCATTGTAAACAGGTGAAATATTCATTCTTCGCTATTAAAAATTGTTTAAAATTACTGTAACCTAGATTGGTAAGCAAGTGGCTATTAGCAAAGTGTATTTATTTAGACTCTTATTCATTCAGCTGTGATACTTCGAATGTCTAGCTTCCAAAAAGTAGTAAATATGGAAAGAAATGAATTTGTTTTATATCCAAATCAGCTGCTAATATTAGTTGCTTTTGTATATAATCATTTAAGCATCTTAAGAAATAAAGACTGTCATCATGAAAAATATTTATTAGAGTAAATAAGTAAAATTACTTATTAGCATAATCTTATTTTATTATGATGAATATTCAGTTTTATACTGAGTATTCTGGTAAAGCAAAAATCGACAAGGGGTCTTTTTTTTTTTTTCAACTTACGTATTTCTTCTGAAATCTTTCATTAATGTTGAATGTTCAGGCATCTTTTTTATATCTTCCCAATCTTTATCTGTGAAATACATTGATAAATTTTTATGTTGCCTAAGTTCCTATTCTTGAGAATTTTTATATTACCACGTTCATTACACTTCCTATACATTCAAACCCCATAAAAAAAAGCTCAGTCTTCAAATAAATGTTCAGCAACAGTAAACATCTTCAACTATAAACATAATTCCTTATCCCTTGTATAACTTTAGATATCTGTTTATCTTTTTAAATTTCAAACTGCAAACTTTCTGTATGTTTTACTATAAGCTGCCTCAATTTCTGTCACTAGAGAAGAATGTTATAGATATTTCTATTTATCTTATTAAATGTCCTATTTCTATTAGTAAAACTGCTTATTTTCCCTTTTCTACCAAATTTCTTGGTTGAATCAGCAATTAATTTCTTCAATGAGAAATCTAAGATCTTCCCCTCAGTGGCTTTAAATTGTATTTCTTTTTATGATACAGCCCTCCTTTCACCTTATTAAATATATTTCTTTACATAAGCAATCAATGTAAGTGGTAATAACTATTTGCAGAATAGGGTAGGATATAATTAGTATATTAATGTCGGCTGGTACCTTGGCTAGTCTCAGTAACATTACCCAAAACAACCTCAGTTCCTAAATACATTAAGTACAAAACGTTTCAGCTACTTTTGCTGGCATCAGAGTTGCTCAAACAATACATGCTACACAATTTGTTTTCTCCATCACTGTCAATGGGTTTTCCTGAGAGTCTACTAGGTGCACAGGACTGTCAGGGGCAGCTTAATAGCACCTTTAGTATTTTTTTTTTTTTTTTTTTTTTTTTTAATTTTATTTTAAAGACGAGGTCTCACCATGTTGCTCAGGCTGGTCTCAAACTCCTGGCCTCAAACTCGGCTCACCCCAACCTCCGCCTCCTGGGTTCAAGCGATTCTTCCGCCTCAGCCTCCCGAGTAGCTGGGATTACAGGCA